ATTTTCGTAGCGTAACAATATATTACAAACACAAAGAGCGCAAGGTAATAAAAAATAGTTATCCTATCAGAATATTTAGCATACCTCTTGTAAAAACAAGATAATCATACTTGCATTGACTTACATAGCTTTACGTGTCAACTACAGTATCCTCATAGAACACGATGCACGAAAAAATGGCCGCGTTCGATGACGTTTTATTATTTTTATTAAAATAAAAAAAAGTAAGTACAGTACTTACGCATGAAATTATATCTTTTCCGAATTTCTCATTGTCAATGTGTAATTTGTGAATTTTTAAAGTGTCTCATTAAAAAATATGTATCTCTCATTAAAGAATTTGCTGCGTGTTTTTATTTGACACACAGACATGAAACTATTGTCTAACGACAAACTAAATTACATTTTACGATAATTAATTTACAAGTAAACATTAAACTTTATATCTTTCGTGCACTTATTGTTCAACAAACAATAAACTTTTTCAATTACATATTTCAATCAATCAATCTTCAACATCTGCACTATACCACCCTTTGAACACAAAATACTGCTTGGAGTGACAATCTGATACCATATAAGTCCCCCGCAGTACCCGTTCTGCGCAAACGCATACAAACCATAGCAGAGTGCGCTTGATCTCGCGAGTGTAGTGTCCCAGTGATAGTGAGATGAAGTTGACGGTTAGTTTAAAAGTGTTATGAAAGTATTTTAGTTTGTTACGCGTTACATAATTAGGATGATCTAAGAAGTCGTTCGCTATTTGCCACACAAAATTGTTGTTTTTTTTATAGTTGCATTTGAAAGTAATTTCTAATTGATGCGAAATTAAAATCGCTCCAAATGTTGACTTAAAAACAAGTTTAAAGACGTAATTTTCTATGAAACTCCCTCTAAATGATTCTATTCACGAGAAAGGCTTATGTATTAGCAATGGATATAGATGTTAAATGAACTTTTTCTTAATAGAAAGAAATTTAAATTTATTGATATCATATTTAAAAAAAATAACTTTTTTTATTATATCATTATAAGTTTAAGGTCAACGAAAACGTCATAATTTTAACTTTTAAGAATTAATAACAATAATACGTTACACGAAATTATGGATACAGTTTTAGTCATCAATATAATTAATATATTAGTATAATTAGGTTTCTAAAAATTACTACAAACGGCTAAAGACAGTAAACGAGTAATATAATGGTAACTAACTATATTCCAAAGTCACGGTCATGGCACAAATTATTGACGGGATAGTTGTTAATTATTCATATCAGTTAAATTATATTCACATTTAATTAAACGGCCGAAAAAATAGTATAGTGATTGGTTCGGTAATTAGATTTTGATAGAAAATGAAGCTGATAAGGCAGGAGATATATTTATGGTTTAAATTAAAAAATCCTTTTCTGGGTTTCCTTTTAAATATATCACTTATTTATAATATATTCACTTTAAACATATGTGATTTAAACACATTGCTTAAATGTTTTTATATTAAAATCTAATGTTATGTCAAAGTATTGTGTATGTACTGGTTGAAGAATTTTCACGAACTGACATTTAGAAAGAGCATATCGCGTTATTCGAAATTTCAAATTACGAAAAATTATTACGAATAAAGAAATTATGTTATAAATCAAAGAAAAAAGTTTAGAAGTGTAGATGACCAAAGAGAAAATAAGCGGTGTGATACGACGCACCGTAACAGTATGTATGTATGTACCTAGTTACAACTAGAGTTAGAATTTTTGCAAGAAAATTATAAAATGAAAGAAACTCTACGTTGAATTGAAATATGAATTTATTATGATCAATCTCTTCACTTTTATAACATTATGTTGTACAAATCAGCCTTTTCTCTCAGAAAATGTCCCTAAAGACGTGTATTTCTATATTAATCCAAGTGATTTAAATATTGAATTAGAGGTATATCGTCTGCTTCAATTGCGCCAGTTGGTCTAACTATCAGTTTTATTATAACGTGAAGTGAAACTTATTTCTTAAACTGAAGTTTTTATATGGCATTTGGCATAATTAATTTATATATAACCTTCTTACATATACATATCTATACAGACCGGGAATCGAACCCTCTACCTCAGAGATAGTCAGAGGTAGAGGGTTCGATTCCCGGTCTGATCAATAATGAACTAATCTATATTATCTCGGGTCTGAGTGACGTTTGATCTTTGTTTTTTTTATTTAATTTGGGATTTGAGCGAACGATCATCATCATCAGCCCTTTTATATCCCACTGGAGGGGCACAGGCCTTCCTTATAGATGGATAAGGAGGATGAGCCTTGTCCCTCCACGCTGATTAAATACGGATTAGAGGGTATTAATGACTGCAAATACAGCCGGCACCAACGGCTTTACGTGCCTTCAGAAGCACAGAGAAGCTCGAGATTCTCTCGAGATATTAATATTTTGGTCATCTATCCCGTGACCGACCCCTAAGAAAGTTATGCACTACGCCACCGAGCTCCTCGGACAGCGAATAATATTTTAAAGTTATTCCATAGTCACATGTAATCAAATAAATATAATTTGTCACTTTTGTATAGTATAATATAACTAAGAGTTTCTTAAATAATGTACCTCATATGTTTGATGGATGGTTTATTAGCATTATAAGTAAATATGTTAAACTTTACTATATTAACACTCCTTAGCGACTTAATGCCATCTCCAGTCTTCAGCAACTTAGTCGATACCTATTCTCGGTTAGGTAAATGTAGCATTTGTATTAGTAATATTCATTAACAAGTTTTTGCAATTTTATTCGAATGCACAAGATTAAAATAAAATAAAAAGACACAACAGTATTTGATTGGATATTAAGACCTTTACCAATAACCAATGTATACAAGCGTTGTATAATTAATTATATAGTGTTCTGTCTTTTGCCCTCAAACTAAAAGTAACACTGGAATGATCTGTACAGAGCTATGTGTAACTAAACAATGGTTACAAATTTCTTATTAGTAAGGGTAAAAAAACTAAAACTTAATCTAGTATAATTCATTTGGTTTTTTTCTGCGGATTTGTCTGTCAATCGGCTCTTTACAACATTTTCCATTCGATCCACTATTGCACACCTCAACTTCCAGTTCTCTAATTTCGCTGTCCCACCTTTTCAGCGTCCTGCCTCTTTTTCTTTTGCCTTCAGTGGAGTACCATTTGTAGGTCAGTTCCACGAATGTTTACATAATAATAGAATTGTAATTACTACATTTTGCTATTGAACTGTCTGCCTGAAGTCCAATATTGTTATTTAACTGTCACTATAAATTTGTGAGGAAGACATTGCACAAATAATATTGAACTTTAGGTAGATAGTATAATGGTACAATGCAAGTAGTCGAGATTCTATTGAGATGCGATTATTACGTAAACATTAGCATAATTCGCCAGCTGTATTCTATGCGATTCATTTACCGTAACATAGAATTATAAGTAACTAATTAATACTATATAGATAGTAACATTAATTGATTTACAAACATAAGACACTGAGGTTAATTTCAAACATAGACTATCCATTAAAATTATCATTAATTTAAAGCGACATGACCGGATACGAATTTCCAAATTGTAGTCATCATAAACTTGAATGGTTCTTTACGCAACTGGATGTTAGAGTAACAGACCCTAAAGTTTCAGACTTGCGTTTAATTGCAGTTAAACCTGAATTTAAATCTGTCAACAAGAGATCAAGTAACAAAAATTAGAATTATTCTTACACAAAACATTTTATTCCAACAGGTAACGATAGTGCTGCTAGCAGCGGCGAGTCAAGCAATCGAATTGCCATTATCTTCTAGAAGACAACAGAAGACAGACAAGACAGATAAAAGAGAATTGGATGAAGGAAATACGGGGATCAATAAAAATGCACCAGTTTTACCAACAGGTGAGTTCAAATCTATTCCGAAATTCTTATGAAAAACTAATAGTTTTTCTGCGACTTTGCCCGCATAAATTATAGTTAATATTTCACCCGCGTATCATGTAGTTTTCCGTAGGTGAAAGTTCTTAAAATCAGCCCAGTAGTTACAGAGCCCATTCAATGCAGACAAACATCAATGACATGATATGAATGAATATTCTTATTTGCGTTATGAAACTAATCCAAAAAGTACACCAAACTAGATATAGTAACACAAAAGGCGGCTTTATTAATAAGGCGACTCTAAGCTAATGGAGATTAATTGCTGGTGAGTGCATTAGGAGAAATAATATATGAGACTACTTATAAATGCAAACACATAATCTAAAATAAATAAAATATACAATATTAAACAAACAGATAGAGTGCAAGTTTAGAAAGAATAGCCTAACTTGAGGAAATGTTCCTTTATCAATTTAATAAATGATTTCCGATACTGCGTCTAATATCATAGGCAGAAAGTTCCATAGTTTGATTGCTTTGACAAAATACGACTTGGCTACGAAATCAGTATTGTGGGACGGGATAACAAAAGATAAGTTACAAGAAGACCGCAGATTATGGATAGGATTCGAAGAGAGAAAGAGGAAGCGCTCTTTAAGGTGTGTGGGTGAAACAGGATGGAATATAAGAGTGACAGGATATTATAATTTCTTCTATAGGAGATAGGTAGCCATTGAAGTTGGGCTCAATAAGACATATGATCTTACTTACGTAGACCTAAGATGGAAGGGATACACAAATTCTTAAGACGCTCAAGTTTCAAAGTGCAAAGCCGCAAATTAACTGAAGAATAAATGATTTGACAATGAAGCCGAATGTTGTAATGGGATCTCTGTAAGTAAACGAAGCGATCCCAGTTTAGCTTTCATTATTGTAATATTGCATTGTCATAAACATATGTTATATATCTATAAAAAAATCAGGTCAATAAAAAATCGGCATGTGGATCAAATTTATCTTGTCGTGAGGAAATCCATAATTTTAACATCCGTCATTCTTCAGATACCATATTTTTCTTATTTCTGGTAGCCCTCCTAAATAATGTATTTTTCCCCAGCTTCATCACCAGTCACGCCCGGTATCGAATATGCTGAATCAAAAGAAACTCACCAAGACAAATCGCCTGCGCAAGTAAGTACCTATTATTGTTTAAAAAAAAAGAAACTGTACATTTCGACCCTTTTTAAATACCGTATGTATCAACAATGAAATATGAACAATAATTAAAAAGTTAAGACTTTTTTTATATAAATTGAGTCAAACAATTCAAAAAGTATTATCGTTTCAAAATTTTATAAGGCTAAAGTATATCCATACCGCTAGGCTTGTTGTATAATTGAAGGAGAAGTCTGGTGACTTGAAAACATCAAGCCTTATTTTAGGCTTAGTTTCTGCCTCCAGTCTTCCACATGACTGTTTACTTTGGTACTTGTTGATGTAATTTTTAAGAACATTTGTGGAAGAAAATAAATTATTATTATTATAATATCTCTAATAGATTCTCTTAATATTACGATTCTAAAGTTCACCTAAGCAAAGTAACGACGCAAAGTCAGTATACAATATCGGAGCACTAAGAGTTAACTGAGAAAATAATAACTATAAATCACCAGTCACCACCATCCTAAAGGTATTGTCTTATGTCACGCCAGCGTCAGACTCAGCTGACTTATCACGATTTACGTCAATTCCGAGCAGTTGCAAGTCATTTTTTGCCTCCGGAAAAACAAACGAATATTTCATTTTAAGTTTGTGTGGAACTAACCACCGTGTACCGTCTTCTAAGTTATTTTAGATTTTTCTATCACAACGGAGCTATTTTAACATATACTTATAAAGACCCTAAAATATTTCCCCCAGGGACAATATTTATTCAAGCATATCTATCTATATCTTCACAAAATTAATTAGGAATTTCTATGGAATTATCTTTTAGATATTTTAATCTGAAATCAGCAAAATTTTAAAAGAACCACGTATTAGAAATAAATCTTTAGAGGCTTTAGTTTTAATAAGAACTTTAGAAACCGTTAATAAAATAGAAAATGTTTATCATCCTGATATAACTTGGAAATTCCCAAGATAACTGACTTAAAATAAATATTTAAATAATGTAAAAAGGAAAATGCTTTTAGCGAAGTTTATTCGCACTTTCTTTAATTTTTAAAGAAGTCTCCCGAATCATAATTAATGACCAATTAAAGCAATTGATCTGTAAAAAAAATACTGAACAAGAAGGGGAGAAGTTTTTGAATTATTTCGTGCCCAATGAATTTAATTAGCTTGACTTTTAAAATTTTTGTTCATTATTTTATTTAAGAAAGAAAGTATTTTGTTCGTTGAATTCATTTCAGTAAATTATTATTACGATTTTGTGTTGAATAAATATTGCTATAAAGTAGAATGCTTTGTACTTTGAAAATGCTATTTTAGTATTGTCAGTTGACTTTGAAACTCCTTTTTGGTTTTGATACCTAAATTCTTGAGGTATCTGTCGGGCAATGATATAACGATAAAAAAAGGGTAGATAGGTTACTTGAATTCAAAAAGTGTCGCCTTAAAACTATGCCAATTAGCATACCCGAACGCAGTCGAGCGAAAAGGTTGAATGTGTGTTTATCAATCATAATGATTTTAAAAATGCCATCCTGTGTTATGTGAAACTGTAGAAACAACATAAGTCATTTAAATACCAAGGGGTCACATTTCATTCTTAAGTATACATTTTTAATTGATTTGCGTTTTAATCAGAAAAACAAATAATGTGTCATAAAAATCAAGAGTAAATATTTCGTTTACAAATTGTTTAAACGATCTGTCAAAAATTATGTAATTAACAGAACGGACAATACGACTTTAGTGCCTAAGCTCTACTTTACATTTATTTGAAAATCTATATGAGACTGAAATTCCGAAATTTGAATTCGGAGCATCGAAACCTAACTCCGGGACTAAAAAAATACTCCGATTCTGATTTCGATCGAAGCCCCCGTGGTATATATCACTTATATAAAAATAATTGGAGGGTAAGCTGAGGACGATTTTTGACATCGTATTAGTACTGACATGACGTATCTAACCTTTTTTATTGTAGTATTATGTCGGGTCTAGTACATCATAAATTTTTTAACATGTCTAAAAATAGACAAACTAATAACAGCATAGGGATTTTATCTAGAACCATGAATCTCGTATCACATTATAAACTCCCTAGATGTCCCTACTTCAAAAAATATTACCTAACCTTCGTGAAGAATGATGTTTAGGTACTTTTGTATTCCCAAGAGCTTAAAACACAACCATCTTTAAAGTTCAAATGTATATGAGATATTTATGAGCTAGCCAGCTTCTCGACTGCTTTTTGAGTATAACGTTCATAAAGTAGTAAACAGACAGATCGTAATAAATAAAAAAAAAGAAATATATTTTTTATGACATCATTAATAAGAGCGAAAGGCCACGGACGATGTCAAGTGGAACAATGCATCAACAAGAGTAACGTGGACGGCCCACCTCGAGCCGTTGGACTTATGAGAGAACTTCGAAGGAAAAGAAATTTAATATAAAAGTTGTTACGTTTCCTTCAGTTGGCCGCAAAATTTTTGTTGTAAGAATTTTTTACGGTTACCGACTTCGTGAGCATCCCTTTAATTTGCATTAAATCCTACTTAGATTTTTAACTATATTTAATTAAAAACAGCATCTAATTTTATGGAATGCGTAATTAAATATGGCTTATGAGCCCATATTTTCGAACACATAAAAATATAAGAAGAGAAATCTAAGAATATAATTATCCCGATACTGAAAATACCACAAAATATTAATTACAAGATCGCGGAAATCATAAATGGTAAACTTTCAGTTTGTTGAGTACAAAGGAATAACGTACTTATAAGCTATAATGTTAATTAAATTTATTAACATTATAGCTTATATTAAAAAAATAGAACTACACGAAGTGAACTTGAACAACTCATCAAGGTCAACATCATGAATGCAGTGCACCTCTCTGACAAAAATAGGTTTCTTTAATATTATGAATGTTTCTGCGGTGCTGTTGATGAATCCCTTGTGACTCCGACGAAGATGATTCAATTATAATAATTTTCTCAATTTGTTTACGGAAAGAACTGAATTCATCACTTACGCGCGTTCTTTCAGGACATTTTTAATAAAAAAAGGATTAGAAACAAAACAATTTATCAGTATGGAGTGGCGTAACACTAAAAATCGTATGAGCTCTTGAGCGGCGACAAGCATATACAGACTTGATCTACCCACTAAAAATATATTTTCTAACTATCAAATACCCTCAACTAATTGCAGCGAGTGTTATCACGTAAGCGTTACTACATGAGTCAGTAAAGTATTTTTTACAGGTAACTAATATTGAATACGAATCACGAAGTATCATCAAAAATAAAAAAATTAAGAAGAAAGACTCAAAACATAATCATAAAAGAAATCTTCTAGGTTTTATTTTTCTTTTATGCTCATTTGTTCTTATACACGAATATCAAAAACGCACACTTTTTTACATTTTCCATATAAATGTACTTACGTAGCGAAATCCTACTCCGCAACTTTAATGCTTATTTTATCTAAGCCATGATATTAAATTTAAGCAAAAAAATACATATCTAATATTTTTCTATTATAGGACAAACGTGCCAAAAATCTTATATTTTAGAACATCATCATAAACATTTACCTTATATATTTCTTTAAATGTGTTCGGAATCTATTCCCACAATTTAATTTACAACGAAAACAGCGATGTAATAAATCTTCATGGATGACATGACATTACACAGATTAATATACTTATAAACAATGTTAGATTAAAAATCTAATTAACTTAATAAAATAATAACTAATGTTATAATAAAGATATAATCCGACGTCTAAATCACAAAATAACAGTATTTCAACATTAATAATGACAACTTAGTGACCAAGGATAGGTAACTTAACTTTGAACGTTGAAAGTAATTGTGCCCGCAAGAACGTTGCATAGTTGCATACATAGTTCCGCTGTTACAGTAAAAACACTTACTTCATGTGAATTAGGACAAGTGACACTAACAATAGATAAAACTTACTAAATAGGATTTAACCTTGTGTTTATATGCTTCAACTTCAATCATTGATAACATACGTTTTGTATGAACTTGAAACAAAGAATGTAAAAATTAAAAGATTTGAATAAGCTCCGGATTAAAAAATTAGGATAGGAGACTACTGGACTGATTTTAAAAATTCCTTCAACTAAGTGAAGCATCATACGAAGGTGAAAAAAGATATTATTCACGATGTCGCGGGAAAACGCCCTAGTTTCAAATGAAAATAGTTATTTTATTTATTTGGACAAAACTAAAATAATACGCTTCAATGAAAAACAATGACTACATAAAGATCAAAGTTGTTTTAGTGGTGACAATAACTTTGAAATAATTACAATACCATTTATTTCAACTGTGATAGTTGAATTGATGGGGAAATTATTTGTTTATATAACACTTTGAATATATATTTTAATAAAAATTGATAGTTTTTTTTTTCATTAATGAGTTATAGACAGACAAATGTGGCGTAACAACTGTAGTCATTTTAATTGTAATCAATATTTATTATTTACAAATTATTTTAATATATTATCAAATTGAGTTATTATTATTTATTGCTGTAAGGGGCTATGCAGTTCCCTGAGGAACTGTAGTCACTGCGACCTTGAAGATCTATTGTGACTCGCCGCCAGATCTATAGTAACTCCTTTAGCCCGGTAGACTTCAAAAAGTCTATTATATTCCTGGCTTTTAGAGATTTTATATCTTCTGGGCTGATTATATGTCGTCCCAGATGTATGCTTCGTTTGTGGATTAGTAGTCCACATTCACACAAGAGATGTTTTAGTGTTTCACGTTCCTGTTTGCAATATCTGCAAATGTCAATGTCACTTAGTTTCATGTTAAATAGGTGTCTGTTTAATTTGCAGTGTCCAGATAAGGCTCGTACAATTGAGCTTATATTTGCTCTCTTTAGCTTCAAGAGCTCTTCAGCTAGTTTTTGTGAATGACCTTCTTTTGTGTTACCCTTATTTTAGAATATTTGATAATACTAATAAAGAG